GACAGAGCTTCCAGCTACGCTCTTGTGCTTGGCGCGGGGCGTACATAGCCCCCCAACCCTTCTAGAGGTCTGCGATGTGTCATCCGCCATGGGGCGCCAGTCCACCCAGCATCCCGGAGGGTGGTCCCGCGGCTGGTGGCCGGCCGGGGGACTGCACCGCATCCACCTCTCTTCTCCCCCGAAACCCCCGACATGCATGCCCTGGCTGTCTACACCCCTTACCTTGGGCCTCAGGGTTTTTTCCCGGGGAAGTCCCGCCTGGGTGGGCTTCTTGTGACCAGACGTGGCGTCAAGCATCCTGAGTTTGGAGGGGGAGGAAGTTCTTCCGGCTTCATAAAGATCACGTTTTCTCAGTGTGTTCCTTGCGTTCCTTTTAGAACATGTGTGTACACAGAGCGGTTGTACTATGGTAGCTCCTTCACCTTTGCAGTGGGTGTGGACACCAGGCAGGAGTCCTGTTTGACTAGTATGAGCAGGACAGCCAGACATGCTCCTTCTGGAAGAAAACTATGCATCTCAGTATGCGGGGTCAGGCTCTGATGTGGAAGTCACCTGGAGATGGATTTATTCCAGATTTAGTTCCAAGAGGAGAGGGTTAGGGTTTCTGCCCCAGCTCTATGTCCTAAAATGCGCTCTTAAAAATTTGACCAGTAGGACTGAGTATGTTGGCCTCGGGCTGAATTTCCTATTTGTGTTTAATATGAATTACAAGTTGTTTATTATTTGTTTTGACAGTTCTTGCCTTTTATGTTTGGATCCGATAATAGGAAACCATGGTATAGTTATCCCCCTGATGTTTTTAGTTGGTGTGAGCGGAAGTTATTTTTATATGAGCACACTCTTCTGTATTTAAAACAAAAGGTCTTATTTAAGTCACACAATTAGAATACAAATTTAGGGGCTAACGTCAACAATGGGTTAAAATAGTTTTTAAAGGTTTAGCATATTAAGGTTATGTTTAATCATTACACATAAAATTTAAAGGATGTCAAAGGAGTTTGACTAAACAAACAGGACAAAACTTAATAATTGAGATCACAAATCTTGTTTGAATCTGGAGTTGAGCCACATGGGTGCTCTTAGGTGTTATAATTATTTGCTTTAGAGGGAAAAAAAGCTTGAAAGTCAAGATTGCTGGCCTCAGGAGCTTGAATTCTAATTATATTTGGTAGAAATTTCCATTCCTTGGTGGGATTAAATACATGTTTTTTTATTGGCTTTTCTAGTCTAGTTTCTACTAAGGCCAGTAAAAATATGTAATAATGTTGGAGGACACAGCATTATGTCTAATTGAATTAATCCCTGTCATGAGCAAGGGAGCATCCCCAAAAGGAGTCACACAAGTTTATCTTTCCACAATGCCAGGCTTATTAGGGAAGACCTTCTCAATACTCAGTAAACCAATAGGGTTACACACAGATTACACACAGAAAGGGGGAGCTTACTGGATAGAACTCGAGGTCCAGATCATTGACAGCCTCTAGGGATGGAGAGGTGGGCATCCACCTCAAGCCAGGTGGCTGTGTGGCAGCTTGTGTCTGGTGGAGCGGAAGTTCCGTTGGGTTCTGAGTGTGACCCATTGTCCAGCCAAACTCGAGTGTGGGATGGTCAGAGCTCTTAAGTTCTTATAGATAGCCCACAAAGTGTCCAGATGGAGTCCTTACCTGAGTGTCCAGACTTGTAGTTTTGGATGTTCTGGGCCCTTCCAAAGGTTGTTCCCGTTATACCCCATTACCTCCATCTTGGGCATATTGCCATTTGACATAGCTGTCATGGCTGACAATGACTCCATTACTGTGTATTTGGAGTTATTGGCTTATTACTCCCAGACAGATTTGAAACAGGCATAAGTGTTTTTTTTTGTTATGGAAAGGAATATTGCCTGGAGTTGTCTGTGCCAGAGACACTTTCTGAGACTTCCATCATTCTACCTGGCTCTTAATTTTAGGGAGAGGAAGAGAGAGACAGTGATGTAAGAGAGAAACATCGATTGGTTGTCTCTTTTACATGCCCCTACTGGGGACCCACAACCAGGGCATGTGCCCTGACCAGGAATCAAACCCACCACCTTTCCTTGTACGGACAACACTCCAATCAACTGAGCCACACCTGCCAGGGTGCCTATCTTTCTCCTGTGTGATTGGCCTCTTCCGACCTGGGGGCCCTCTACCACCGTGGGTCCCATAGGCCACGGGGACTTTGCTTTTACTTTGAGTGAGGGTGGGGAACCATTAGAGGCTCTCGTGATTACTTCCAACTCTGTGTAGAGAAGAGATGTGTGTGTGTGTGGGGGGAAACATGGAAGCAGGGAGACCAGTTCAGAGATGTGTAACTAATTCTGGAATAAAACCTTAGTCTAGGCTATTTCTACACAAGAAAGAGTGACCGTGAGTAATTTCGGTGTGAGGTGAGGGCAGTTTGGACTGGGGTGGAAGTGGTAGACGTGTGAGAAGGTTGAATTCTGCTTCGCTGTAGATTTTAAAGGTAGACTCAACAGGATTGCCCAGTGGCGTCTGTGTGAGGCGTGAACAGGGTCTGCTATGATTCTAAGAAGAGTAGAGTTGCCTCATTAGTGAGATGGGGGAGGCTGAGGAAAGAGCAGGTGGGGAAGGACTGAAGTCATAACTGCCACTTTCATCCTCAAGGGACAGGGCTGAAGGAGAGCTACCCTCTTGGGGGCCCTTCCTAGGTTTGTGACTGCCTGGTAGACACCCCAGATTGGAGACATCCTTTTTCTCACCTAGCTTTCATGCCTCCTCATACCTGAACAGAGGTTCTCCCGGTTCCTGCAGCCTCCCTCAGCTCCCCTGCCGCCTTTCAGTGGGCAGCCCGGCCATGGGTTTGTCCCGTTGTCAGGATGGAGACCCTTTGGCACTTGGGATTCTAAGGCCATGGGGTGTTCCTGCTTTTTCATTCCTGGGCTTTTGGGATCTACGTTCCAGGGGTTCTTGGGCCTTAAACGGGCATTGGATCCCCGGTCAAGGTTCTGTCCACCCCAAGGATCTAGGTGTCTTCTAGTCAAGAAAATATGGTAGTAGAATCTTCAGTGGTAGAACATCAGCCTTGTAAACTATAGGAATTCTCTTTTTCTTTCTCATAATCCCTGTCAATCCTGCACCACAACTCCAAAGCAACTTTGAAAATAACAACCCCTGAAATTTAAAGGGAGTCATAATTTATCATGGAACAGTTAGTGAGCTTGCCACCTGGGAATTTGCTAGAAGGACAAGCAGCAGGTTGGTTAAATGATTCAGTGGTGGACAACTGAATATGTTCATTGTACTCTGAAGGCACTTCTTCAGACACCCTGTGTTGGCCGAGCTGTGGGTGAAGTATGTACCTCACATGTCACTCAGGATTTGTTCATCCCAGGAATACAGGCTATAGGAATGACATTTCTGGACATCAGAGTAGGTTCTAGCATAAGGCTCGCCCATCCTGTGACACCCATTGTCCCTCATTTGGCTTTCCCCCGTTTATTGTTATTAGCAGATGTGCATTTGCTGCAGGGCCTGGAGTTAGAGTGGTGTGGTGAGAGAAGAGGCCTTCACAGCTTCCGTGGGCCTTAGATGAGCTGCCATGGGACAAGGATGCTTCTAGGAACCAAGGGCAGGTGCCACCCAAGCTGGGGACAGCACAACCTTAGGCTTTGCATCTGTCTCTGTGTACATCCTCCTGAAAGTTGTTGAGACCTTCTGAACCTGGTAGACCTGTTCTGTCGTAGACTGGGGAAGCCTTCCCTCTAGTCAGCAGGATTCTGTGAAAGAATAAAGGGACTAAATCAACACGTTTCGATTCCTTTCATGAAATGAGTTCTTTTATGAAACAAGCCTACTGTTCTGATGATGGCAGCTAGAAGTCCAGCTCAGGGACCTTTAAAGACTGGGGAGGGGGACTTACATGGAGGTAGGAGGTAGGAGGTAGGGCCTCCCTTCCCTCTGAACATTTATGCATTATCTCTCCCTTGTCCCTGGATGGACTTTCCCTTTTGTGTGGGGAGGGGAGGGGCAGTTTTGTTTCCTTAACATTCCATATTCCTCCTGTAGTGCTTTCTTCACAAGATTTGGTCAGACGAGGTTCTTGACTTGAGAACAAATATGTTTCTACTTGTTTAGGAGCAGGTCCTATGCTGCCTGTGTGCTCCAGGTACAGTGTGCTCTGCATCATAGAGACCATCAGTACTGAGTCTGAGCTGTAGGGGAGTAGCCTCCACTTGGTGTGGCTGGCCTGAGCTTCTCGTAGGGTCCAAGTAGATGCCATGGGCCCCTCCTGCAAAAGGGACAGGTCCCAGCCTAGGCTCCACTTACAGGATGAGTGCCCGTTCTAAGATATTTCTCAGGGCCACTTTAAGTTCTTTTCCATATCGCTTGCATAACAGTTGGCTTCTAGTGCTTTCTTTATAGGAGTGAGATGATTTGAATGGGGGTAGTCCAGTTACACAGTTAATACAACTTCTGGCACAGACTAAGTGTTTTATATAAATGTTAGTTATTATACTGGAAAGAAAGCTCAGTTCTTTGATTTAGGTATGGAGAGAAATTTTTTTTTTTTTGTCCTCTATTCATTAGCTTTTCCCTGTTCTCTCATATTTATTTATTTTATTTTTTTAAAATTTATCTTTATTGTTGAAGTATTACAGGTGTCCCATTCTCCCCCCCAAATGACCCCTTCCAACTCCCTCCCACCCCCTCCCTAAGCCTTCACCTCGTTATTCACTGTGTCCATGGGTTATGCATATATGCGTATAACTTCTTTGCTTAATCTCTTCCCACACTCCACCCCCCTTCTTTCTTTCCTCTGAAATATGATTGTCTGTTGCATGCATCAATGTCTCTGGATCTATTTAGTTTGTCAGATTCTTTTGTTCATTAGCTTCTTCTTAAAGAAGGCCCTTCAACATTTCCTGTGATGCTCTTTATCTGACCTTCAGTTCAGATGATAGCTTTGCTGGGTAAAGCAATGTTGATTGTAGTTCCACGTTTTTCATCACTTTGAATATTTCTTGCCACTCCTTTCTGGCCTGCAAGGTTTCTGTTGAGAAATCAGCTGACAGTCGTATGGGGGCTCCCTTGTAGGTAACTAATTGCTTTTCTCTTGCTGCTTTTAAGATTCTCTCTTTGTCTTTAACCTTTGGCATTTTAATTATGATGTGTCTTGCTGTGGGTCTCTTTGGGTTCCCCTTGTTTGGGACTCTGTGCTTCCTGGACTTGTAAGTCTATTTCTTTCACCAGGTAGGGGAAGTTTTATGTAATTATTTTTTCAAATAGGTTTTCAATTTCTTGCTCTCTTTCTTCTCCTTCTGGTACCCAAATAATACGAATGTTGGACCTCTTGAAGTTGTCCCAAAGACTCCTTATACTATCTTCATATTTCTGGATTCTTTTCTCTTTTTGCTCTTCTGGTTGGGTGTTTTTTGTTTCCTCATGTTCCAAATTGCTGATTTGAT